AACCTAACGCTAAACCTAACCCTAACGCTTAACCTAACGCTAAACCTAACCCTAACGCTTAACCTAACGCTAAACCTAACCCTAACCCTTAACCTGACCCTAACCCTAACCCTAACCCTTACCTTAATGTGAATCGGCTTGCTTTCAAAGCGCTTTTTAAAGCGCCCTTTTTTCTCCGCGGTCGCTGTTGTCGCGCTGCTGCTGACGTCAGGTACGTGCTTTAATCGGGCGCGCTTTAGTGGACCGCGGTTTTGTCGTGCCACGCTTTCAACATGCAGAGATGGGAAATTGATATGGAAATGAAAGTGCTAGTTGAGGGCTCCTTGGTGCTCTCTGAGCTTGGTTGTTTTCTTGCAAACATTTCATTATCCAAACTATTGTAGGTAACATTATCAGTGCTGATTACACACTAGTACTGATGAGGTTACCTAGTTTGGGTAATGAAACACCTGCAAGAAAACAGCTAAGTTTCAGACAGCATCAAGGACCCCTCATTTCAACCATGAGTTACAAATATTTTCCTTTAAAGTGTTAGTTATCCTTATATCTCTCTGCTGGTGTTACACAGTAGTATAGTTGCCCATAATGAAGAACTTTGCACAAGGGCTTCAGGGTGATACAGAACACTGAATGATATGAGATTAAAACCTCAAAGTTAATGACATAAGCAATCAATATACTATATGTCCCGGGTATCAAACTTGTGATGTCACGTTGTCATGTGACATATTGTGACTTTTACCCACTCTGCTAAACTGGGGGTGGGCATGGCCAGTGAGTGACACATCTGGCCCGCGGCCCATGAGTTTGACACCCCTGCTATATGTCAAGCAGCTATGACTCAATGTCCATCTTCTTCAGAAAAAGAGCCTACTGATCATTATTTACAAAGGAGGCAGGTAATCCAGTCTCTCTCTCCTCTAGTTTAATAAAATCCCAGAAGTTCATGCATATTATAAAAATGAGAAAATACCGTGGTCCAAGCGTGTTTGTGGCAGCAGATGAAAAAGAAAACCTATAGCTATAGGGAAAAAAATAATTACATTTTAATAATTTGTCCCAAACCAAATGAGAACAATGAACTGGAGTGGAATACTAAAGAGCAGATCAGCCCATGGAAATCAATGGCATTATTACTCAAATAAGAAATGTTATCACATCTTACAAAGCACATCCTTAACCAGAGAGAGCAACACAGAACACTTTCTAAATGCAAGAAATCTCATCAGTTTAGAAAAACTTCAACTGCTAGAGTAAGATTTCATTGATCATATGTTTCAGTTTAGATTGTAATCAGTGAAAACAGCACTATTCTCTTTCTGCAGATTTGGAGCTTTTTGTTGTCTGATTTAACTGTTTATGCATAAATACAAAACGTCGGTATTGGACAGCTTGAAAGGGGGCTTGACTTTTTTTATAAACACTATTATCCAATTCAAATTTTAGAATATGCAATTCATTGAAATTCTGTTATCTTAACCCCTACAGTATTTCAGTACAACCCAGTTTCTGGTTCTTTTAAAAAATGTGCAGAATTCCAGGATTCTTAACTGAGATTTCATCAGAACAGAGCTGGAAGGGACCTTGTTGGTTTTCTAGTCCACCCCCTGCTCAAGCAGGAGATCCAGTGGTGGGTTTCAAATTTTTTTAGAACCTATTCTGTAAGTGTGGCCTGTTTTGTGGGAGTGGCTCAGTGGTCATGTGACCAGGTGGGAGTGGCTTGGCAGTTGTGTGACTGGGTGGGTATGGCCAACTTGGAAAATATGGTAAAACTCACTTATCAACGCTCTTGCTTAGCAACCAAAATGTTGGGCTCAATTGTGATCGTAAGGTCTCTCTCTCTCTCTCTCTCTTTCTTTCTTCCTTTCTTACTTCTGTCTCTTCCTCTGTCTTTCTTTCCACCCTTCCTTACTTCCTTCCTTACTTCTTCCTTTTTTCTTTCTTGTGTCTCTCTCTCCCACTTTCTTTCTCTCTTTATCCTTCTTTCTCTTTCTCTTTCTCTTTCTTTCTCTTTCTTCCCTCCTCACTCGCACACACACATCCCTTCCAGTTGGTGAAAAATTCTGTTTTGCCAACTGGGAGGCTAGCAAAGAAACCACACTGTCCATTTAAAACTAACCCTATTACTCTATGCACATTTAACTGGAGTTAGTGGGTTGGGGGTGATTTTCATGGAGGCAGAAGGGGGACTCGGCACTTGGCACCGAAGACTTCATTCCTGAGATGCTCCCGTCTTCCTACCTACAGCCGTAAGCATTGAAAGCCTGAAAACACCACCCCCGCATTTTCATAAGGGCAAGCAGGTTCATGAATTGCATTGGGGAATCAGGCCAATGGGCAGCGATGACTGGAAAGGGAGTGCGTGCCGCGTGGGCTTCTTCCAACAGCCGAGTCCTCCCCTACTGTTCCTTCTTCAGCTT